AAAAGTTTCATCAGAAGCGCATCTCTCTAATTAGTTTTTTTCATTCAAGTTCTCAGAAATACTTTGTCAGCTACAAAAAATAGTTATTTAATTTAAATCCGGGGTCTGCTTACAAAATCCGCAGAATACAAATTAAATATTTTTGTGTGGTTTTGTAAAACAAAATGGGATCAAAGCGATTTTGTCATTTTGTTTCTAAAGCAAAACACTGGAATCGAAAGAAAAAAATTTTTTTTATGATTTTGCAGCTCCCAGTCAGCCAATTTATCTTGAAAACAACTTTGAGCTGAATGAATTGCGTTTAAATTTTCTGATCGGGTTTCTGTCAGAACAAATTAATTTCGATACATTTTTCACCTATAAACCCTCTGACATCAATTCAGCAAATCTTTTTGGTGAAAATACCAAAAACATCATTGCATTGCAACATGACAGTCAACAAATTTATTAGCAGGCATAGCCGATTAATTTTTAAGTTTTTGCTTTTTGTTTGAATTTCTGAATGCTTAGCTGAAAAATTGAGGGTATTGAATAAGTTTTTACGTAAATAAAACTATGGAAAACAATTCAATTATTCTGTTTGTCTTGCAATTACACAAAAATTCTAAAAAAAAAATGCCTCAATTTTGCTTTAAAAGCGCTGTAACTTACAAATTGACCTCTTGAAAAGTAATTGTTAATCTTATACGAAAACCTTTTAAATTAAAGCTTGTATCTGCTTTATTGAATTAACAAAGTATTATAAAGTATTAAATTTGAGCGGCTTTAAAACTTGTTTTTTTTTTTGTTTTCAAACTATCTGTAAATAACGCATCATGAATTGAATTCAAAAACTGGAAAACCACAATCACAATTTTGCTTCTAGTGCAATGCATTTTAATTTAAGGCTGTTTACTTAAAAACATGTTTGAGTTCAGCTGAAGGAAAATATTGTTTTTTTTGGGAACATGTTTCTCAGATCCTTTTATACTTTTAAAAGATACTATTGATGCATTGAAGAGCGAGAAAAATTCCCAAAAAAGATTTTGCAAAGCTGCTTCTAAGTCGCTGCAGTTTAAAGTATAGCTCTTGAAAAAAAAACAGTCATAATTGTTTAGATTCTAACTGCTTAGGTAATTGTTTGCGGATTTTTGGGCTGAAAAGATTTCATGGAGAGAAACTCCATTGTTTAAAAAGCATGGGGAAAACATCCACTTATTTTTCTTTCGCTACAAGAATATGAATACCTTATCTTATATGAAAATCTCTTCTATTAAAGCTTGTACTTGTTTTACTGAAAAAAAAAACAAATTTTAATTTTAGTGGTTTCTAGAGCTAGTTTTTTAGTTTTCAACCTCTCTGTAAATAACGCATCAACAATTAAATTCAAAAATAGGAAAACCACAATCACAAATTTGCTTCTTGTGCAATGCAGTTGAAATAAAAGCTGCTCATCTTAATTCATGTCTAAGTTAAGCTGCAAAAAAAAGTTTTTTTTTGGGAAAATTTTAGCTTCTCAGCTAAAAAAACCTTAAATTTTAAAATTTGAAAGATGAAAAATCCTCAGATGAACTTCAATGATACTATTGATGCATAAAAATATTTTTAAAAAGTTTCGGTAGAAGTAAAAGTTTTTTGCAAAGATGCTTCTATTTCGCTGCAAACTTAACTATAGTTCTTGAAAAGAAAACAGGCATAATTATTGAGGTTCTGACTGCTTAGATAATTACCTTGCGGGTTTTTGAGCAGAAAAGATCTCGTTGAGACCCTCCATTGTTTGAAAAGCTTGAAAAAATATCCACTTAATTTTTCGAAAATCTGCATTCAATTTAGTGCAGTTCATTTTTAAAGTAAGACTCGCCTGATTTAAGCCTATTGGCTTGTTTTTTTTAAGGTCGCGTTTCTGGTTTTCTAATAAAGAAGTTGAGATTTTCTAAAACTTTTCAAGTTAGTGAGCTATTCCAATAAATTCATTTCTAAAGCACTAAGAAAAAAATTCTGAGAGCTTTTCACTAAATCGGCTTGTAATGCGCAGCAACAAAAATTTAGTTTTTAAGAAAAGTCAGCGAGCTCATTTTGAAATGTTAGTTGGACCAGGCCTCTGAAAAAGATAATCTGAGGATTTAAGACAAATTTAAGGGTTCAGAGGCTTTGGTTTTTAAAAATCTCAGCAGGGACACTTTCAGTCATTTGCTTCAAATGCACTGCAAATCTCCAGTGCAACTTGTGAAAAAGGATGTAGCACATTTTACTTAACAAACATAATCGTAGAAGTCCTTTAGCCTTAGGCTCTAAATAATCTAAAATTCAAAAAGCTTTTTTTTATCTATCTCAGGGCTTATATAACTTCTATATCTATCCCAAATTGGTTTCTTATGTAGTAAAATTTAGGCATTTAAACTTGATGCATATCAAAACAAGGACTGCCGGTTGTTGTGCAAGTCGCACAGATTGTTCAGACCAGTCTTAAAAAATACAAAATTATTGTTTTAAAATCGTGTCATTTTTCAGCGTGGTGTGATAAAGGAACATGAGCGAGAAATTGGAGCTTGGATCATTGTTAAACATGCAAAAAGGAAAACAATTTTTAAAGACAAATAAGAAAAACAAAAAAATCAAAAAAAAATCAAATACAATTTTTTAATTTTTCAAATTTTTCTCCCGAACATTTGAAGCTTTGTTTTCCTAAGATGAACTAGAAACTCCAAAAACTACTTCAATTGAGTAACACTAAATTTTGAAGGCTTAAATAAAGCATAAATAAGTTAATGTAAGCTTGCTCACACGCTCGAAATTAGACAAAAAATCGAAAATTTCAAATCAATTTTTCGCAACATTGAGACACTTTTTTGATTTTGTTTTAAGGTAGTTCGAATCACAATTGAAAAAGCTTAAATATAATATATCACTCAACCCAGTCCCGGTTGAGCTTCAATGTGATATATCACTCAACCCAGTAATTATATGTGGCACGGGATTTTGCATGGAAAACAAGAAAAAAACTAAAACACACCAGAATACAAAAGCTCTTCTCATTTTCAATGGTCGGAAGTTTTAAGTAGAAAAAGTTATGTAAAAATCACACCACTGGTTTTTTACCTGATAAATTTGAGACACTTTTACCGGTATTTACTTTATAAGAACGAAAAAACTTTCGCTGCTTCGATTTTCAATGCAATAACACGTCGAAGCAAAATTTCTTGATAACCAGGCCGCAAATCTTTTTCTAGCGCGCTTTGATTTTTAAATTGGCCGCTTCAAAACTTGAAAAAGGCATAGCCTAATAAATTTGAAACACTGCTCAGACCAGGCATCTGGCTGCTTTTATATAAAAAAAGGAGTTTAGTCGGTTTTTACGTTAAGCGCTGTAAAAAACGACATGTCTGTATCTAATGCACCAGCAATTAAACCCGAGAAGTCTTCCTCAAATCTGCATCTAATGCCCAGTTTTTTACAAATAAGGCTATCAGAAAAGATAGCGCTGAAAGTACTTAAGATTTTAATTTTTTCGTTCACACCTCTTCATTCTGAGTTGAAAAAAAAAAGAAGTTGCTTGTTTTTTTTTGCGTAAAAATTTTCTGGAAAACATTTCAAGTAAGTTTTTTCTAGAGCACTAATACATTAAAACAAAAATTTTAAACAGCAATTCCAGAAGTCTATCTTATACGCAAATCTACATAATTAAAAAATGGAACTCTAGAAAAGTAAAGCATAGCTTAGCAAAGCTCAAAACAGGGCGGATACAAGGTTTCATGAAGGATTAAACAGACCTTCTTTCTAGCAGATTAAACAGATTATCAGATTTTGTGGATAATGACGCCTAAGGCACTTTTGGAAAAAATATTCGTCCGTCAAAAATGAATGTCTTGAGAAAGTATCAAAGAGTTAAAAAGACCCCTCGGGTGGTGAGGTTGTCGAGTTCCTGTCGACAACTAGAAACCAATACTGTCTCAAATATAAAACTTTTGAGTGAAGCCTCTTACAGCTTAGCTAAATGTAAAAGCGGCGGTTGATAAAAATATCTGAAAAATATTTCCACGGATTTGCGTCTGATGTCTTGAGACAAAGGGGGAAATAGTTCTAGTCTGATGCTTGCAGGTTTTAATCTGTCCATAAAACTGAAACAGGATATCGCTTTACACGCCAAAATAGCACACTGCAAATTACATCAAATTTTTCCTTGGTTCTCAATTTATCGTTTTCTGCAATATTTGATACCACTTATAAGCTAGAAAATTTACAAGAATAAAGCTTCCGAGAATTGAAAATAAGAAGGTCCCATTTTTACTTATTTGCATAATTCATTGCTATTTTTAGCTTTTTTCTTATTCTTCAAATTACTTCGGTCGGCAAAATTTACATTTTAAAGTTGCCGAGGGAAGATTATTTGTGCCCGTTTTAATGTGTCAGAACGCTTCATTATAATAAACAATTTCAAATAGCTTTTTTTAGCTTTAGCGAAGAAATATGTAGGGATTGTTTTGCATGTTTAGGGCTAAATCTGGGCCATGAAACGGCGTCATGCGCTTTTTTAATTCGCACGGCGTCTTCATTCTTTTTGATTATCAAATTACATTTTGACTAACTTCATCCTTCAATACTAAATCGTTTAGTCGCTATTGTGCGGAAATCACTAATTTCAACTCAGAAAGATTTAACGGCATACATATTCTTTGGTTGATTATTTGGAAACATCAGGCGCTTAGAGTAGTTTTCCATAGTACGATGGTTAAAAACTTTTTTTGAGTTCGTAAAACGCATTCTCCTGTCAAAGATTTCTTCGAATCTATCAAAAATTTCTTCGAGTTTACACTAAACTGTCAAAAATTTCTTCTAGTTTAACTTGCAAACACTTTAAGCACTCTAAGATACGACTTATTTCATATTCTTGCTTCATATCTGAAAAAAAACTCTGTCAGTTGAAATTTCGGCTTAGAAGTTTGTCTGCCAATTGGCTGTTCACTTTCTGCAGGCAGAGTTTGTCCCTGTGTTTGATAATATTCCACGTTGCATTAATTGCCAATGGGGGACTATTTGAATTGAGGAAAAAGGAACGCGGCTGTTGTACTTCCATATAAGCGTGCGCCGACCTTATTGAGCAAAAAGAGGTCTTCCAAATTTACAAGGCAAGGGAATTATCTTGCGATTAGAGAAACGAGTCTTTGTCCTGATTTTGGGCCAAATTTGACGCAATCGTTTCCATTTTAGTGTTCTTAACATTCATTGTAACTAGCTAAAAAAACTTTCTTACCCAACGGCTATACCCACTCGCTAATTTTCCAAACATTCCTAAAAATTTTAACCAATTTTTTATCCTTTCAACGCAAGGCTTTCGCCGAAGGTTATTCGTCCTTCTTGTCAGCTTGAATTACAAATTGAAGAAAAAGCTTCCCGCAAAGAAACAACTTAATTATAGTCTAGAACTGAATTTAAACTTTTTTCCAACTATGTTCAAAAATCCAACGTTTCTACCAGATCTCGAGCACTGATTCTTTGTCGCGAGAGTTTCAAGGGGATTCGTTGATTACTTTGATTGGACGTTTATTTTCATTTTACAGATTTTAGCCTCGTGCAAAATATACTAATTTTGGTCCGACGTTTTGGTTTTAGTTAATCCGCAAAACCTCCACAGTTCCATAAAAGTATCATTCGGTTTCTTTAACGGGTAATTTTTTATTGATTCATTTTGTAGTCCACAGAAAGACAATCTTGCATAAATAAATCAATATTTATGATATCAATCGCACTTAACTTGAATTTCCCACCAGACTAAATTTCTAATTTATTCACGTTCATTAATTGACTAAATGTCAAGGACATAAATTTAATTTATCAGATTTTATAACCTTTATGTTCAAAATACACGCCCTTCTCAACATCGCAGATTTTCTTTGGGAGTGCCTGAAAATCAAAACGAGTCCAAATTTGTCAAATTCTTAGAATTCCTGAAAATAGTGGGTGTTATACACTTCGAGGTCTTGGTTGGTATCTAATTCAAACAAACTTCGCTTCAGTTTCAGTTCAATTTCGAAATGTTTGAAAGAATTTGGTATTTTACTATTGACGTATTTGAAGTAAGTTATTCGGAGGGTTTCAAATCTCTATCTAAATTCTCAAATGCGACACACCGTTTCAAATTCGTTGTTCTATTGGTTAATTTTATTTGTACGTTACAGTCAACTGAACTTTTCAGTTTACTCAAACTACATATTGATTGAATTTACTTTCAATCTGGTACCAAAATATCTTGTACGCAAAACGCTCTTTTAATATATTAAACTAGTCCAGAATTTTCTTGTTTTGTGGACGAACATAAAAAATTAACGTATATTTGACAAGAGCTAAAATCAGTTTTTTGGCTGAATCTCAATTACAGCGTTAAGAATTCATAACCTTTAGAAAAATCGAAGCTGTCAAATTATCTCCTCTGTAGATACCAAATATGACTTCTGTAGCTTGAAAAATTGACCAATTGGTGCATTACCATTGTCAATACCAATACCTTCTGCGCTGCCTCGATTTCGTCATTACTGCAGCAACAAGAATTACGTTTAACTTTGAATTCAATTGTTTGTCTCGTGCTGAGCTCCAACAAAGCAGTAAAAAACATTTTTTGCACTAGCACCAATCGCTTAAATTTACAATTCATTTTCAATTACATCAGCCAAGAATCTTGGACGTTCAACTCAATCTATTGCTCTTCAACAGAAAACATCTGAAAAGTAAACTTGCTCGATTTATAAAAAACTGAAACTTGCTGAACATGGCAGCCGATACTGCGTTCGTTATAAATGATTACCTGAGACGGGATTTCAGATTCTCCCAGTTGATAGCCCCATGCTTGGGGTCCCATTCTGGGGGTTGTCTAAGTGCCTCGTTGGACCAGATCAACAGGGTATGCAATGACAGCCAGCCTACTATCCAAGTAGCCGAAGAATGCATAAAAAGGTCATCAAGGTCACTTACAAACGGGAAGACAAGAACAAAGAATACACAGAGTAGGCTTGTAAATCAGTCGGCCGGCAGAATTTCAGATGTCCTGGTCTTCGATATCGGGATCCCGACTTTGCAATCAGAATCCCATAATGCCAGATCATCAACCGAGTCTCTCAATTCGATTTCCAGTCTGCCCGAGAACTCAGATTTTCAGATCAAGGCAAAACAGACCCCTTTAAACGTAAGTTCTAAGATTTTGTTTACTAATCTTGAAAACCCAACAAAAGAGATTTTTTGCGTATTTTTTGAGAAAACTTTTTTAGAGACTAGAAAGCTGCTTAAACTTGATAGGTATGCGGTTGGAATCTCAGTCAAATCTAAATTTAGCTTTTTTGCAAATAGATACTTTTTAATTTGATTATATGTTTGTTTCAGAGACTCTGCATCAAGCAAATCACCCGCAAATTGTCACATCCCATTAAAAATCCACTCAAACAGAGGTTGGCCAACAAAGGAACAACCAAATTAGACTCAAGTAAACCCACTGCTAATTCAAATGTCAGATCCAATTCAAGTTCCGAAGCATCAAATTGCAAACATGCCGAACATTTATTTGCCGTAGACGTTAATAACAATGAAACTGGTTCTATTTTCTCTGCAAACTTACTTGAAAAGGTCGCTCATTCTGATTCTAAAGCTATTCAAAATGAAAAAGAAATTTTTTCATTTGAACGATGTACAGGTGCCGAGTCTTTAGCAAGAACCGATGAAATCATTGAAACACATGTAAAACGACGACATTCGGTCAGTTTCGCCGATGATTTTGGTTTCGACTTAACCAAAACTCGCTTTTTCGAAACTTTCGACCGCCTATTCTTCGAAGTTGAAGAAGAAAATAACAAACCCAAAATCTTTTCACCGATCAAGAAAATGAGAACGTTTCTTCCCATGTTTCATTTGTCATCGAGACGTGACAACTTGCTTGAAAAAGTAGCTGAACAGAAAGTGAGGCTCGAAAGTGTTCACATTTTTGGCACGCTTGTTTCCGGTTCAATACTAGTCTACAATTTGACTTTTCAGAAGGAGGTTTCAGTAAAGTACACTACAGACGGTTGGGCCGCATACAACGAAATTTCAGCTTCGTATGCTTCAAAGCAGAATGAAAGTTTCGACAGATTCGAGTTCGAACATTATTTCGAGCCTTCCGCAATTGAAAAAGAGGTCGAATTTTGCGTTCGATATCAAAACCCGTCAGGAGAATTCTGGGATAGCAATGATGGGAAAAATTATATACTAAAACTCGACTAGATGTAGATAGTCAGACTGGCATTAAAAACTTGTGTGCTAATTTGAGATGTATAATCTATTTTTCTACTTACTTTGTCCAAACCCCAAGCTCACTTGCCGCATATTTAGCAGATTCGAAATATAACTCAAATACACATCAAATCTTAGAGTAGTTGCAATATTTTTTTTTCAATTAATGATTTCAAAACTCTTTTCCTTTTCTACGAGTTACCGCTTTTTAACTCTCTAATTTTTATGAAGTAGAGTGTTTAAAAGAAACGATTTCCTCAAAAAGCAAACAGAGGAGCTCAGAAGAGTTCAACAAAATTAGGTCATTGTTAGAGCTTCGAAAGATCCCAAATAAACATGGAAAATAAAAAAAAAACGATAAACCGCCATGTCAAAAATGCCGGTACCCATCACTGCATAACAGCAACCATACGTGAAACATATGTTACTTCGGTCATAGATTCTTCCACATAATTTTTTACAAAAAGAATTTTTCTTAATTATAAAAAGATGTCCGAATTTTCTGCAAAATATATCTGCAAATTAGGTTCAGACTAGTACGAAAAGGGGCTCAGAGAACTAAATATATTGGTGCCATTACTATCAAGAGACCAAACATTTGCACTCGAAACCAAGTAAACAATGCAATATCCGTTCTCTATTCTAGCAAGGCTAATCACAAATTACGTTTCCGTTAATTGATTTCAATTTGCTCTCGTGCCGAGGAGGCGGAGTTATGTCAGAATATAGACACGTCGTAAGCCAATCAGAATCGACAAAAGAAAGTACTTTGTACGCTTCAATACTAATCTCGATTCTAATTGGCTTACGAAAGTATATTTATGACCTGTCTACTTTTTGCTTAGTAACGCGATCAGGTGAAATTTTTCTGATTCTTCAGAACAATTTAACCTAAGTAGCTTAACCATCAATTAAGTTGATATCTCAGCAAACAAAAAGTTCACATGAACCATTCGACCTTAAGATCATTTTAATCATTTAAATTTAACTTCACTTTAATGGTAAATTTTACCGACCGATATGCAAATCAAATCCAGGAGCATATTTATTGATTGAGCGATAAATTCTTTCGAATGATGCTAGAGAAAAGCTTCAGTTTCATAGCTCAAGATAACGAAAAGCTTTAATTTCACTCCTTTGATTTTGAAATCAATTGAACTCCCACCAATAGCGCTTATAGCAATGCAGGTCGTTAGTTTTCACAGGGCTTTTATAGCTCGACCAATTTGATTTTAAAGATCATAGATTCCTAATTCAGCCCACCTATCAATATTGGAACATATTGGCGTCGAAAAGCGCATTTAGATGAAATTTAGAGTTGCGCGAGATTATGGCGTGATATGGTCGAATTCCCGAGGCATTAGGGACGTGCCCCCCCCCCTCCAAATCGTAAAGATGTATAAATCTTGAAGCGTAGAAAAGAGCCTCCGCCCAAATCGAATAATCAAAAATAATTTGTATTCTAATTTTTAAATTTTCAAGTGTCCATTCGCTCATATTTTGACATATTTACATTTTTCTACATATCTGCAATTTTTTATTCACACCCTTTTTTACAGACTTTTTTTCGATAGACATTTTTTTTCCAATCTACAGTGGAAAATGCTCAGAAAATGCTCACACTAAATGCTCAGTTCAGAACTTGAAGTTCTGGGCGAACACTTTGGTGGCTGTGAGTTTGTCGGCCAAATCCTCGTAGCCAATCAGCTTCAGCACTCTGATTAGCTCCTCCTTAGTTGCAGCACGCCCCTTCTCTTCTTTCCATTGCAGAAGAGCCTCAAACGAATTCAAGAATAAATAGTATAATTTTCCCGCAAATCGATTTAATGCGAGGGGGGAGGTTGGTGGTGGATAAAACATGCGTTTGAGTTTTTCAGAAATTAACTTTGAGAGCAAAATAAATTGATCTAATTGATAACTCAAATAAAACAAAAGATTGTAAGAAAATCTGTCTTTTCACTTATCCGCCCTATATAGTTTATAAGAGCCCATCAATAAGTAATTTAAGGAGCCGATCAACTTTCATTTCTCAACCCGTTGAATCCCCTGCACTACTGATTCTGGGGTTATGGTTGCGTTTCAATTCATCGCAAAAACGCCCCGACCACTAGCCAGCTAATCACAAAAATTAAAAACGTCTGTCGCCTGGCGACACGGCATCAAATTTAATCAGCTACAGCTTCAGTCCGCGAAAGCATGATAAGATATCAAGAAAATGGCGGGAAACTTTTCCAGCATCTCTTAAATGATTACTTTTTTTATGAAATATCAAATGTCCACGTCTCTTCTACAAGGTGCTAAACTTTTATGGGTCTACGACAATTCAGTTAGAAATGACAGCCTTTTCAAAAGCGTCATAGGTTTTGGATCACCCAGTGTTGCGAAAAGGGAAAACAATTCTTTGCTAACTTCGAAACCAGTAGCGACTTTTCGAAAAACCCACCGCTCTTAGAGACAACCCTAGATCAGCGTCTGGTAGAAAAGAAATGAAACTCTAGATCAGCGTCTGGTTTTTCGCTCAACAAAAAACGCTTTTAACGACGTCACATTGCGACAAGAAGATTAATCTTTCCATTAGCTCTAGTATTGAATTAATTTTCACGAAAAAAGCTTAAATCTCCATCGATGAGAATCTGAATTGCACATAAAAACTTCATCTGCAGATGGCACTTCAAAGATCCTCCTACATTCCTGAATTTAACAAACATTGCTATCCCAACTAATTGAATTTTACGCCTTCCGTTCCGTTAGTCCACAGGAATTATTTGAACTATTAAGTTCAAACCACGACGCTTAATTCACTCCAGCCTATAGAATTGCAAATGAATCGCGTGACATTCCTTCATGCGTACTGCTCGTTCTACCATTTTAGGTAGAATAACAACAGTATAAGCCGTCTATTGTACCAATTCAATGGCTAGTAGTAGGTCACATGTTTGTATTTTGGAATTAACATGGGACTTAGAGGTTAGAGGTAAGCAAATTTGAACCAATAAGAACGTCTGTAAATACACACCGTCAGATGACGATAACTGAAAACAAAAAGACTCAGAACAGCACTGCTTTAGACAGCAACAAATCGACCGCACGGCCAAAAGATTTTTTTCATGAGTTGGTGCACGTATAAGAAGTCTTCGCCGGCGGCCAGTGATTTATCGTCATGATTACTTTGCTAATGTGACGGAACGGCTCTGGCTTAAGTAACCGTAATTACGGACCAATTGATATATAATGTATCAACCTCCCACTGACACAAAATTTTCAAATCTGAAAACTATAATACTTGAAAATGCACGCAAGTTAAAAACAATATATGGGACATGTTTCTATTTTTGGTAAACAATCGTAAAATTGTTCTAATAACGTCTAAATAAAAAAATTTGGAAAGAGTGCGCGGAAAAACGTGATCGAAAATGTTCCCCAAAACCCCTAATCCCAAAAAAATCTGCAGCTCAGAAAGTTAGGGTCTTTAAATAGGGAGAGCACGGAAAATTATTTTGGTCGACCTGAAAAAAAGGACAGTGTTTTTTTCGACAAAAATCCCCTCTTCTTGAGAAAATACACGCCTCGTTATCATTAGCACTAATGATAACCAGGCGTGTATTACGCTTTTCTTTCGCACTAATTCCATCTCAGGGTGGGGGGTAAAACATGACGTCACCCTACCCTGTATATATCGTCCTTGTTCGGAGGGGGAGGAGTCCACTCTTCTTCCTCCTCCGCCGCCTCCTCTTCCTCTTCATCTTCGTCCCCATCCCCACCCTCGTCAGGATCCTTCTCCGCTCCCCCTTCGTCACTACCCTCGCCTTCTCCTTCGGGGGGTGTCTCTTTGACAGGGGGTTCCACAGGGGGCAACTCGATTTTTAGTCTGTGAGCTAGATGGTGCAGCTCAATCGGGTCGATGTCCAAAGCAGCTTGCTGCATCAAGATGTTGATAAGTATATCTAAAAAAACTATTTTATGAAAGAAAGAGCCGAAACAAACAAAAATAAGAAAAAGAAATGGCTGGGATGCAAAAAAATCAAGTGATAACTAAGATCTGAAAAATATATGCTTAAGGCGGAAACAACTACAGATAGCGGAGGTGAACAGGGGGGGGGGGGTTTAAGAATGAACACAACGGATGTAAATTTCGCAATAATTTTTCCTGACACCCTGAAAATGACAGAATTTGCCTTTATTGACGATTACATAATGATTATGTAAGCTTTTGTTTCGTTGGTATTAATGCCTCAGCTAATGTTGAGACCACTTTCCTATGTAAGGCTAGCAGACCGGCCTATGATAAAAACAGGTCTAAGATAAAAACAGGTCTAAGAGCAGAATCGATTGAAACGAAGAACTATTGCCATTGGTTAATAAAAACTAGCGCGTAACGCACCTCCGTTGCTTCGAATTTTCAACAACTCAAAAAACCGTTCTTTGAATGTACTCTGAGAGCACCTAAATACAGGGTTCGTAATTACAAATTTTGCAAAGTTTTTTATTCAAGTTTTTTATACAAATTTTGAGTAACCATAAATTTTGTGAAGTTTTATATAAAATCTTCGACAAATTTAAAATGAACTAAGAAACGTCACATCTGGGAAACTGAAAGCAATTGAGCAGTCGCATTTGGACGCAAGATTTGCAACTCCTTAGAGTACTCTTACAGTACCCAACTACAACGTTGGGAAATTCAAAATTTGAGAAACTTCACCTGAAGTTTTCTAAAAAAAGGTATTCACATCTCAAAAACTACCAAAATTTGAGCAGTCTTCTTTGATGGCAATAAGCGCAATCTTTGAAAGTACACAACTACAGTGTTGGGAATTTCACTTGAACCAATTATTTTGTAATTTGAGTTTTTTTGAAAATTTCCAAAAATCACAAAAAATCTTCGTATCTCTTAAACAAAAATGATTTGGGCATTCTTAATTGGAGGCCAAATTTGCAAACCCTGAGATTACTCTGACAGCCTCCCAACTACAGGTTAGGAAATTCAAACTTTGAAAAAAAAATTAATTTAATTTCATGAAAACTTTTTTTGAAAAAATCACAAAAAACATCATATCTGGAAAACTACAAGGATTTGAGCAGTCAAAATGGGACGCAAAACTCGCAACTTTTGAGAGTACCCTGACAGAGCCTCACTACAGATATGAAAATTTCAAGTTTTGTGAAATTTTTTATACATAAGTTTTCTGAACAATTTTGAAAAAAAAAAAACCTAAAAAACGTCATATCGCGAAACCTACACGAATTAGAGCAGCCATATTCAGAGGCAAGAATTGCAATTCCCTGAGAGTACCCTCACAGATTCCAATAGCAGGATTGATATCTTCAAACATTTGGAATTTTTTAACTTTCTAGTTTTTTTGAAAATTTCGGAGAAAATAAAAAAAACGTCATATCTCAGAAAATACAAGGATTTGAGCAGTCATACTTAGCGGCAAAATTCGCAACTCCTGAGAGTACCCTGACAGAGTCTCACTACAGAGATGAAAATTTCAAGTTTTGAGAAATTTTTTAAATCTAATTTTTCTGAAAAATTTTTAAAAAATCCAAAAAAAAACGTCATATCTCGAAAACTACGAGGATTTGAGCAGCCGCAATCAGAGGCAATGATCGCAACGCTTGAAAGTACCCTCACAACATCCAACAACAGGATTGAGATCTTCAACGTTTTGGAAATTTTTAAAATCTAAGTTTTTGAAAATTTTTTGAAAAATTCATAAGAAACGTCATATCTCGAAAACTAAAAGGATTTGAGAAGTGAGAATTGGAGGCAAGAATCGCAAAACCTGGGAAAACTCTGACAATATCCTACTATTGGGTTGCTTATTTTAAACCTGATGAAATAAACACTGAATTTAAACTGGAAAATCGAAAAAAACTTAATCATTGCAATATACGATATAGCTTAAACGTGAAAAAAATTCTTTTTTAAACATGCAAAAATAATACGTTGAAAAAGCTTAAACATGGCGAGATAGTGAAGCCCGCATTTAAATATATAATAGATAGATTACGGACGTGACTGCAACCGCAACTAGAAATTGAAACTGAAAGATAAATATAACTAAAAGACATTGAAATTATCTCGTTAAAGATGAAAAGGCAAATCCCATTGTGCATACTCAACTGGTGCGTATTCATACCAGATATTCTGTATCAAAGTGAGATGCTGAGCCCACAGGTTATAGTGAGCCTTACATGTTAATAAATATCGAAACGCTAGCAACTAAGAGTACTTCAATATGATACCTCACTTGAGCACCTGAGAGTTTTTTTGGGGTAGTGAAAATCAGCTAGGAAAAATCCACCCATGTCACAGTTGCTTCGCACTCTTTGGAGAGTGGTCAGAACATGAAGCAGCCGCATAAATACCAATATTATTCAATTGGATAAAGAGTAGTAAGTTAACTATTTTTAAAATTAATTCTAATTCTTAGCGTAGATTTGAGATGAGGCCCAATACACGCTACGTCAGGGCCAAATGGTTACTTGAACCACATTCAAAACGTAAGGAACACGATAATCTATACTATATTTAAATGCGAATGACAGCTATCTCCCATTTTTAAGCATAAAAATTTTGCATGTTTAACGAAAGAATTTTTTCATGTTTACGATATCATATATTGCAATGCTTAAGAAAATCTTTCAATTAGTTTTCCGCAAGGTCATTAATTTTTCAGTATTTTTTTTCGAGGCCAAATTAAGTCTGTCTGTATTTTAATTAAATTGATTATGTCTGTCTACCCGTCGCCTAGTTTTTTTTTACTTTCATCTATTATCTTTTATATTTTTAAATGCGGGCTTCACTATCTCGCCATGTTAAAGCTTTTTCAACGTATTATTTTTGCATGTTTGACAAAAGAAGTTTTTCACGTTTAAGCTAAATCGAGTATTGCAATGGGTAAGGTTTTGTTTTCGATTTTCCAGTTTAAATTCAGTGTTTATTTCATCAAGTTTTAAATTAGCAACCCAATAGTAGGACATTGTCAGAGTTTTCCCAGGTTTTGCGATTCTGGCCTCCATATATGAATAACCAAATCCATTTAGTTTACGAGATAGGCAATTTTCAAGATTTTTCAAAAATTTCTAGAAAATTTAAATTTAAAAAGTTTCTCAATTTTTGAGATTTTCACCCTGTAGTTGGGTGCCTTCAGGGTACTCTCAGGGGTTGCGAATCTTGCCTCTGACTATGGCTGCTCAAATCCTCATAGTTTTCGAGATATGACGTTTTTTTGGAATTTTTCAAAATTTTTCAGAAACTTTAGATATAAAAAATTTCATATAACTCGAAACTATCATCTCTGTAGTGAGACTCTCAGGAGTTACAAATTTTGCCGCCAAGGTACTCCAAGGTACCGAGGTATTTTGCCGCGAATTTTGCCTTCAAGATACTCTCAGGAGTTGCGAATTTTGCCGCCAAATATGACTGCTCAAATCCGTGTAGTTTTCGAGATATGACGTTTTTTATGATTTTCTCCGAAACTTTCAAAAAAAGTTATATGTTAAAAAATTCCAAAAGTTTGAAGATCTCAATCCTGTTATTGGAATCTGTGAGGGTACTCTCAGCGGGTTTGGAATCTTGCCTCTGAATGTGAATGCTCAAGTTCTAGTAGTTTTCGAGATATGACTTTTTTTAGGTTTTTTTTCAAAATTTTTCAGAAAACTTATGTGTAAAAGTTTCACTAAACTTGAAATTTTCTTCTCTGTAGAGGCTATGTCAGGGTACTCTAAGGAGTTGCGAGTTTTGCCTCCCAATTTGACTGCTGACATCCTAGTAGTTTTCCAGATACGACGTTTTTTGTGATTTTTTCAAAAAAAATTTCAAGAAAACTAAATTAATTTTTTTTCAAAGTGTGAATTTCCTAACCTGTATTTGAAGGGCTGTCAGAGTAATCTCAGGGGCTGCAAATTTGGACTCCAATTAAAATTGCCCAAATCATTTTTGCTTGGGAGATACGACGATTTTTGTGATTTTTTTGGAAATTTTTAGGAAACTCAAATTACAAAATATTTCGTTTAAGTGAAATTCCCAGCCCTGTAATTGTGTACTTTCAAAGATTGCGAATATTGCCATCAAAAAATACTGCTCAAATTTTGGTAGTTTTCGAGATGTGAATACCTTTTTTTTAGAAAACTTAAGGTGAAGGTTCTCAGAATTTGAAATTACCAACGTTGTAGTTGGGTACTGTTAGAATACTCTCAGGAGTTGCAAATCTTGCGTCCAAATGCGACTGCTCAATTGCTTTCAGTTTTCCAGATGTAACGTTTCTTAGTTCATTCTAAATTTTTCGAAAAATTTATAATAAAAATTTATGGTTCTTCAAAATTTGTATAAAAAAATTTGCAACATTTGTAATTAAGAACCCTTTTAAGTCTTTTGAGTCGTTGACAATTCGAAGCACCAAAGTACACGCTAGTTGTGCTTTAAAAGATGGGAGCAAAGAAGGCGGGGAGTAACTGTTTTCGAGTGTGTTTTATTTTTAAAACCTTTTTCCCTAAGCAAATTCAGGTACCATAAGTACTCATTGGAATAGATCGATGACATATTGTAACAATTGTTGTGAGAAATTTATTTAAAAAAAGCTTCAAAAGCAGAAATGAAAAATAACATGAATCTTGACGGAGGCGAATAAGAAGCCTCTGTCAACAATACTAGTTCAAAATAAATTATTAATAAACCCCGCTGGTCTTAACTCTCTAGAGTTTCCTCAAGAAAACTTTGGACTTGCAATTGGCAACAATTATCGCAAATTTTTGAGGAAGTCAAAATTACCAACCACTATCTATGGAGACAATGTGATTTTAAAGCTAGCAGTGAAGCAGAACTAACAGAAGGATATAATTACAGAGACAATGCCATAAAATTTAACTCACAAAAATGCGCATGTCGATGAAAACGGGAGAAGAATGTATGCAAAAGTTACCCAAAAGCCGCTGAAACAAG